AAGTAGCATCTTTGTAGTTTGAAGGTTTTGGTTTTCAAAACTGATCATAAGATTTGGTACTAGTTAACACCCCCCTCCAACTTTTTATTAAAATAATTTATGCAACAGAAAATCAAAGAGAAAAGAAGGCATGGTTGTCAATTGAGGTCTCTCCTGCCTGTTTCTTCAACCATTTGTTTTGTTCATTGAAGACTGCATTCCCACTGTTAGAGAATTAAACATCAATATCTGTTCATCTGGGTGTTTCCACTCTGCTCCCAATTCTCCATCCTTTTCCTGTAACATATCCTGATAGGAACAAGTATGCCCTTCATATATTTCCTAAAGCCCTTCTCTCTATAGATGTTTTAATGGGGTGTATTTTGGGTGAAGATAACAAAAATGTATCCAATCATTTGGCTTCTGTGCTTAAGAATAACTAGATAGAGCCTCGCTTGCAGAATGAAGAGATAACAGCAAAGATTTTCATTACCTGGAAGTGGCTTGGTAAATAGGTATGTCTGCTGAAGGCTAGTTGGGGATGCTTGGTGGATGGATTGACAGGTAAGGGAAAGATAGATGGTTTAAATAAGTAGATGGGAACAGTAATATGATGGAAGTGCATGAGTATATAGATAGAATAAGGGTTAGATAAATGGGGAAATAATATGTGAATGAAGAGGTGAGTGGTTCACTGATGGAAGAATAAATTGGTACACAGAAGACTGATGGAGCTGAGTGGCCAGATGGAATGAAAGACCAATGAATGCCTCTGCCAGCAGGAGAGCGACTAGGTGTGTAAATGTTGTGGTATGAACAGAAGCAGGAGACTGTCAGGTGTGGATGGGAAGAGGATGAGTAAAAGGAAGGAAGAAGAGACAGGAAAGGGGAGCACTAAAGGTATTACGATGATAAGGGGACCTGGAATTTGTTTCCCTGATAAGTCATAATTTTACACTATGTCTGAGGAAATTGGAAACTCTCAATCATTGGTACCACCATTTTCTTGGGATTTTAATTTACAAAAAACATGACCTAGTCTATCAAGTTCTCCATGCTCCATCTGCTGTGGGGGAAACTGAGTTTTAAAAGGTTGGGAATGAGCTCTTGTCTACCAGGAACTCAATAAGAAATAAGCCTCATAAATCTAGCTCAGGGTCTTCGTCAGAAGAGCTAGCCATGCTGTAAAATCAACTGAAGAATTTTAACCCAGTTTCTCTGATTTCCAAAACTATAATTAACCATTGGTCCTAGGCTTTATTAGGGGGTAGTCATGATAAATCCCATAATTGAAAGAGAAACAAAAACTGTCCTGAGAGTTTTGAACTAGAACATACTAACAAGTATAAATCCACAAATGATGCAGATGAGGAATCAAAGAGAAGCAAGGTCAAGTGTCCAGCCCAAGAAGACGTATTTAGTTAATGGCAGAACTAGGAAGGGTTAGCTGATGTATAAAGATGAGCTAGGTGAGTTGTAAGAAACAGGTTAATATCCATTCCTTCAGAAAAGCAGATGGGCGTGTGAGGAAGGTAGAGGTGTTGGAGTTTTCTTGAAAGAGAAGTCTGTTTCAGAAAAGGCAATCAGAGGAAGTTTCTTCTCCAGGTCCCTTTCTTAGGTTATTTCCCATATGTATAGAACAATAAACCTAAGATGGAGAGACAATACAATGACACACTTTTAAGAATAAATGTACAGCATAGTCACCATATTTTATCATACTTACTCTTGCCAGTGTGTTTCTTAATTCAGTGGATTCAAGCCATAGGAAGTGTTAAGGAGTGTCTAAACTAAGCAGAATCTGGTCATTATTTTTCTGAAACTTCTGATCTCATTTTCACTTAAGTTAATAAATAATTTACACTTTGAGGTTGCAGCTACATTTTGTATTACTTGTAAATGGCATAGATATTTGATATATAGGTATAACATGGAAAATACCTAGACTGCCTTTGCACTCACATGCATGTGTGTGTGTGTGTGTGTGTGTGTGTGTGTAAGAGAGAGAGAGAGAGAGAGAGAGAGAACGAGATAACCATTCAGTTTTTTGACTACATCTACTCCCCAAAGCCTAAAACACACATATGAAATTAGCATGTGGGAAAAACGTAGCCTGCTTTTCTCCATTCCTGGATAATCAGTAAGATGTCCTAATAAACAGCCCCCTGAAAGTTACAAATTTCTTTGAACTTTATTGATACACTGCACAATCACAACCATCTCGTATTCATCCTGAATTAGAAAAGGTTACAACTACAATGTAACATGCACAAAATTCAGGTAGTATATTCACCCTTAATACAATTATTGACAGAAATCAAGTCTTCATTGATTTTTGAAGGAAAAAATAAGAAAGAAAATAAAAGAAAAAAACTCTAGAAGTTATACTCTTCTATCATGTGATAATTTTTTAAAGCATTTGAACATAGATTTGTTTCAAGGATAATTGTGAGAATGGGCACACCCATTGTCTGACACAGCTATAACGGCACCATTGATAAGTCATATATATTTTTTTTAATCTAGAGGACTCTGAAATTGACAGATACATTTTCGTACACCCACACATTCCTCACAACTGCACTTTACATGTCACAAAAATTTTTGAATGTTTAAAAATACTCCCTTTAACTAACACAAGGGCAGTTATTATTACTTATCATTGCTATTATGGATAACCTTATAAATCTGCCAGTAATGTGGAATGTGGCCCTAGAAGGATAGTAGAGGGTTCACAATCTTTCTTTCTTCACTTAGTGGCATGGAACAACTGTATGCCTTTAAAAGGGCACCATTGAAAGAAACAAAAAGGAAGCTATTTCAAAATACTGGAAATGAGGCTTAGCTGCTTACTTTCAGGAAGAAGACAATGGTGCCTAATTAAGTCCACTCCACATTCCTTTGGACTCCAAGGATCCTGCACCTGAAGGCTAAATTACACTGGTTCAGATCTGTCTTGCTGCCCCATCTTTTAATTGCAAATCTATTTCTTCCTCCTTTCATTTACTTCTCTTCTCTTAAGTAAGAAATGAGGGAAATGAGACTGACATTTTTATTTGTTTGTTCTTAGTGATCATTAGGAGTTCTCATCATATGGTATCTTTTGAAAATGTTGCTTTCCTAGTTACACACCTGTGAAGTTTTACTGCAACTGCTCAAACTTATTTGTCTTAAAATCAAAAGGGAAGCTTTGGATAGTAGAAGAGGCTGTTGGGTGTAAGTTCTGAGGAATAGAGCTTGTGTGAAATTAAAAAAAAAAAAAGTTCTCACTATTGGAGTAAAAGATAAAAAGGTGAATTTGCAAATGAATTTTATGCCCCTTCCCCCAGTTCCAAATAGATTAAACTTTAAAAGCTTTTTTGAGGGGGGAAATGGGGAGGGGAGATGGGCTGGTTCTAGATGAGGACTCAGGGTCAAATTGGAAAAGATGACCCCACCCCCACATCCCACCTCAACCTCAGCCATTACTCCCCTCCTTTTACTGATGGGGCTTATGACATCCATATACAACTCCAGAGAAGACATTCCCTTTGACACCGAAAGCACCAACCACCACTAGAGCTTTCCATTTACAGTCACCCCTGATGCAATGGCTACAATAAACTTTCTTTGAGACTAACTGCTCACTGTGAGGTTCTCCGCTCTTTCACATAAGAGTCCTTCTAACATAAGTAGAACTTGCTAACACCTCCATGTTGAGTTCAAATTGACTGGCTCCATACAGAAACAGTTTGTTACATATAGCCTCAGTTGTGAAGTTTCTGGAGTCCCAAAGCACCCTTCCCTCCCAGACTTTGAGAAGGAACTGCCCAACCCGTGGAATGTGTCAACTAATATGAGGCACAGGTTTCAGGAGAAAAAGACTAAGGCCTCTTTTTTATACAAAGCCTTACCTCTCCTTCCGTCCCGCCTAGCACAGTTGCAGAACGGCCAGGTACAACACCCTCTGCGTAACATAAATGTGTGTTGTGACCACTGCTCACCTATACGTCCCCTTTCCCCCACTTAAAACAAAAATGAGAAAAACTAAACACACTTGCTTAGATTTGCAAATGACTATATCAGGCACTTGACATTAAACTACCAAAAAACAAGCTTGGCCATAGCCTTAAAACTAGCACTTTCATTGGCATTACTTTGGTGGAAATATATATTAATTGTGTTTTGGGAAGGGGGGAGGTTTCAGAGTAACTACATTGCTGAATTTCTCTCACCTAATCTCCTGGTAAGTCTTATTTGGTTTCCTTCCCATGTGGAAAGCCTATGAAGAGTTAATGGTTGTTCAGAGTTTTGTTCATCTTCTTTTTCCCAGGCCCCAATCCCTACCATTGGCACCTTGAGGAAAAAAAAAATCTATCCAGCAGGTTTTATCAATCTACCCTTATATGGGAAGTTGAAAAAGCATATGTGAGTGTGGATATTGTCTTTAGTAAGCATTTAATGTTCTATGTGCTTCAAATGTTGGGTGATGGCTACTGTTCTACAGAGCCATCTCCATGACAGTAACCCAAACAACACAAAAGCTGGAGTATGTCTAAAGCAAAGAAGAGCCATTTTCTTTCCTAATGCCCAGTTTCCTTGGGTCTTATTTACTTGATTTTCTTTATCTCAGACAGATGAGGATTGACTGTAGGATTTTTTTCCCTCTGAAACATGGCTGGAATAGGCAATCACCAGAAATTTTTCCTGGTATCCAGTGGAAGAGGGCAGCACAGAGTTCCATAATTACTCTGAGACCCAACCTCAATATTGTGTTCAGAAGGTTCTGATGATCTTCCTGGTCAAAGAAGGATGGGTCCCTTCCTCAAGAACAAGTCTTGGCATGAAGAACGTGTTTAGCTTGTCCATTATAAGCACTGTGTTCTCCAAAACCATCCACTCCCCAGAGCCTCCACGTTTATTTTACTCGAAAGTAACACATTTATTATCAGTAGAACACTCAAATGACACATTTAATTCCCATACCAATGTCTGACACCAACCCGACTCCAGGTGCTGAAAGTGATGACAGATCTGAAACATTGATGTCCGACCTTTAATTCTGACTTTGTGTCTGCTCATGATTGTCCCTGGAACTTGGAATCAATACACTGCTTTTGGCACATCATTTATGTTCCCAGAATCTGGCTCCTGGCAGCTCACTAGGAAATGCAGATGTCTGTTTACAGCTGGCAAATGTAATATTAATTCCACTCATACTAGCTCCAACTCTTATGAAAGTGCCTAGCTTTCTGTATGCCAAGACTACCTACATTTGTATTTATGTATCTATTTATGCATGTATATATATCTAAGTATATATTCCCCCACTGTGTATGTCATGTTCATGTGCCATTATGGACAAAACAAAGAGACCGCTTATATCGGAGGAAGAAGATCAATTAAGCATTAAGGGAATGGAGCTCTATAAAGCTCATATTTATTTAGACTGTGGACCTGAATGTTTTCCAACTGAGGCAGGGCAGGTCTGTGAGACAGTCACCATTGATGCTTCTTTCTCATGCTCTTAGTAGGTCAGCCCTTGGGGCACAGGTAAAAAGGGGCACAACCTTGCATGGTTTTCAATACCATTCTTCTGGATTATGGGCACCCTTGCTGGCCGAGTCCTTCTGGTCCCAGGAGATGATGCAGAAAAGTCCGGTCAGCTCTTGTTTGTCTTCTGGAACTGCTTTGAACATGGAACACTGAGGACATTCTTCCCCAAAGCTACTAGAAAAGCAGCCTGTATCAGAGGAAATTGTGTGTCATTTACACATTCCCCTCCTGTTTGCAGTGTTGTGTTAATCAAGTGCTTGGAAATTAAGTCAGTTGCTCAAGTGCCCTCAGCTCAGAAGAGCTTCCTGAAACAAATACCAGAGTTGTCAACACACCCGCCATGTAATTGGCTTCCATCAGCTTTTTACGGGATAGTTTTCAAACAGATTAAACCAAAACTGGAGCAGGGGAGGAGACAATAGCTGAAATCATTGCACTCAGGTGGACTTCTCTCTTCACACTGCAGGGACAGACATGTGTTTCCTCTCTATGTTCTTGCTATTAAGAAAAGCCATCCATGGAGTAATTCCCGTAGGTTCCCGACATACACTTTCTTGAAAGGCTGAGAAAAACATGAAGGTTGCCCCCTTGGTCCTTCAAGTGTGAAAGGAAAAAAATGAAAACAAAAACAAAAACAAAACAAAACAAAAAACCATAGTATTGATCAAGGCTTTTCCAGGGCTGATATGTTTCCCAAGAAGATGTTTTTGGAAACATAGTCTCTTCTGGGAATAGTGAGTGACTGATCCTTAGATTGCTACTTTGGTCCATCTGTTAATAGCATCTACTTTGGATGGATAGGATACCACGTTCCAAAGAGTCCTTGACATATTGTTTGTCTATGTTGTTAGCCTGTAAGACCACTGGCTTTCATAAGAAAGTTGATAGGTATTTTTGAAGTTGCAATGTCTGCTGAAGATAGAGTACAAACAAATAAAATGGAAGAGACCTGATATGATTAGAAATTAATATGGTGATGAATTGATAGTGAGTAGTAGGGAAAGAAATAGAAAGTGTTAGATAATTACATTGATAGATTGATAAATGGAGTAAATAGATTGCTACAGAGGAAGATGGGTGGGTAGATAAATGGAGGGAGAGATAAATCAAATAATTGAGTAGATGGATAATCATATGATTACTTCAATAGCTTGATAAACCCTAAATAATCAGCCATCTATGGATTTTTTTTTTTAATGAGTTAGATAACAGTTTTTAAAGAGAAGTACTATCCTCAAAATGCTTCCCCCTTTTTTGGTCAAGTGACTTCTAATCTTTTACTTTTAGGTTGTGTGCAGAGCCCCAAACCTCTAATTTCTATAGCTGATAGAGAAAGCAAATAGGGCAGAATGGCTAGAGAAGGAGACAAGAAAATAAAATACATATATGTATGGATATGGGTATATTGAGATACCTTCCCAGAAAGAAAGGATGTGAACCCAAATGTAATTAGATAATAATAAGCATGGAGAGAGGGATATGTACACTATAATAAGAAAAATGATCCAAAGCTTAAAAGACACCAATAATAGGACACTTGTATATAACTCTTGCTGTGCACTACATTATAAGTCAAGTTGTGTCTTCAGGGTGTTTATCATGAGGCACATTTTTGCCCAAATGGAGCTTATGGTTTGGTGTGTAGGGGGAGGGGAGGTTGGTAGTGATGATGATGGGGAGAGGAGCAGAGGAAAGGGAAGGACCAAGGTAGCAGGGGCAGATTCTATTTTTGGACACACCAATGAATGATTATCCTACACATGGTAGAACCCTGCCCACCCCTCCTCCCCACCCCACTCATTCAAACTAGAGGAAAAAATCAAATAAATCAAACTCCCCCAAAAGAAATCAAGAAGAAGAACAGAATCAAACAAACAAAAAGCCCAAACTGGTTTGCCCTCCGCAGTGTAGATTAAAGTCTGTGATATGGAGAAGCAGGCGTTGCTCAGATGACCTATGATTTCTTATCAAAACTTGATGAAGAAGTGGGCAAAGAGGGTCCCTGATAGCCAGAGACAAGCCAGTGCTCTAGAAGCCGAGTTTACACCATCAATGACTGCTCCAGGCCCTGTGTAGGGGAAAGAGAGACAGATCCATTAGCATGCACCCAAAGGGTACCGTAATTATTCCCTGACAAGCATATATATAGACATGCTTCTCTGTGAGCATTCCCCCATCTCCCACGTCCCACCATTGATCCTTCCAAATCTGGACAAATGGAAAACACCCATTGGGAGTATTTAGAAACTCAAAGGGGTAACTCACTGAAGTACCTTAAGCACTATAGCCTGCTCTCAAAGACAGGTTTAAAAAATAAAAGGGGTGGAGGGAGGCATTGGCGTTCAGATAGGCCTATGGGCTAAAAAGTTAGGGCAGCAGCTAGGGCTAAATGGTATGGCATGATGTTACTTTGCAAGTAGTACTGTGCTCTAACTGTGGAGATGGTGTCCACGACAGAAAGGAATAGGAAGGGGAGGGCAGGCATGGGGCATGGGGACAGCTCATGGTGGAGAGAAGTAGGTAGGGGAAAGAAAGCAAAAGGAACGGAAATACATTGTGAGCAGCAGGATTCTAGGTGTTTGTGTGGCCAACTTTTCATCCTGTGTAACAGGTATCGTGAAGGCTCTTCCTGAGGTAGCTGAGGAAGAATCGATAATTATACTCAAGAGTTTTAAAGACTATGTCTGGGTTTATTGCATCAGTCAGCAGTGACTCTCTGGAGTCCACAAAGAAGACTCTGTGTTCTTTCCAAATGGACCCCTAATGGTGCAGCCTTATAGAATTCTCCCTTCACCCTTTCTTCTGGTCTCTCTGGCCCTTTTACATGCCATAGAGAGCCACCCATGCTCCATTATAAAACAAGACCTTTGAGTCACAAGTGTTGCTCCTTTCACTTCACCTACCACCCTCGAGAAGACAAATCACATGAAGTGGGATTGCCGAACCTGTGCTAAGGACCCAAGCAAGTGTGTCAGGGTCTAATTCACCTTTTCATTCCTCCATCATCTTTATTTGAAAGCCATAAGAAATTGGAGTGATAAGCAAGACCAGTAGCTAGCAAGCAGAGAATAGGGAACATGGAAACAAGTATAACACCAGGGGTAAGAAGCCATCAAGAGACATTCCTGTAGAGCCAGTGACAAAGAAAAGGAGTTGCAAACAAGACAAGCATGCCTCTTTGCCTTCTCAAGCCAGGACTTCCTTTGCTTTGAGAAGCAAACTGGCTTAATGAAAATAAGTATGATTAATTTAAGAAGAAAAAATGGTGCAGGGTTCTCCTCAAGACAGAACTGTAGTCATTCAGCTTGCTTGTCAGTGTGATGGTGTGGATCCCTGCCTTGCCTAGGAAGAGACTGATGCTAACCTTCTTCTTGGGGAAGTATAAGCTTCTCACTTCAGCAATGAGCACAGAACTGTTCCAAGTCCAGGAATTCCCACATGGATACCTTTTCTTCCTCAGATTTCCAGTGTATACAATTCTATTGACTAAAATTTCACATTTTTTGATGGCTTGAGAGTCTGGCTCATTGTCCTCTGCATTTTTGTTATAGAATATTCACAGACAAGGGCAGGATCCAGGCACAAGCCCAGTGCTATCATCCCCATGAAGGCTTCATACATATTTATGAAAGTAGCCTGACTCTGGGGCCTCCACCAGTCAAGAAATATATCTTAAGGAACCATACTGGCTTATAGAATGTACTGAGTTGAAAAATGCCTAAGCTGGAGCTCAAGGTAATTCTCTATATTATCTTCCTCAAAAGATAAATGATTTAGATATTCTAATGAGTCCATAAAGAAATGACCAATGCAGACTGGTAAAGCATATGTTTCCTTTAAAGTATCTAGCTCTCTCTGTCAGTAAATAGATATTGATATAGATAGATAAATACTTTTATAGAAACATACATGTCTAACAAATCTGTATTGCTTATTTCTTTATGAACTCATTAGAACATCTAAATCACTTACCTTTTAAAGAAGATAGATAGATTAAAAAAAAGAGAATATACATTAAACTAATTATATGTATTTCTTTGTCTAATTCATGATATTGATATTATTAAGAAACAACTGAAGGCCTAATAAGTTCTTCAGTGTAGGAATCACTTTGTTCCAAGTTCTACCAGTGTATTTAAGCATTTCTTTGGATGTCATGCTACCAGCAGAAGGTTGGATATCGCTAAAACAAAGAAGAACAAAGCAGTATATGGGGAAGGCAAAGCATGAAGGGTGAGGTACAGAGAGAGAAGGAAGCAGAATCATAAAGAGAAATGAGTCTTTCTGGTGGTGTGTGGCAGTTGCAATAAGATGTTCATTACTGATCAGGCAGAGGTTTATAGCCACAGTTAAACTTCAGTTCTGGAGTGTTCCATAGAGTAGAAACCGTGAGGGTGACTTAGCAGACATAAAGAGTGCTCGGCTTGCTTAGGATGATGATGGTAACATGTATTTACGTTGTGCTCTCTCTGTGGCAAGTGTGATTCTTTTTTTTTTTTTTTTTTAAGATTATTTATTTATTTGACAGAGGGAGAGAGGTCACAAGTAGGCAGAGAGGCAGGCAGAAAGAGAGGGGAAGCAGGCTCCCCGCCGAGTGGAGAGCCCGATGCGGGGCTTGATCCCAGGACCCTGAGACCATGACCTGAGCTCAAGGCAGAGGCTTAAGCCACTGAGCAACCCAGGTGCCCCATGTGGCAAGTGTGATTCTAAATGTTAAACATATATTAACTCATTTAATCTTCACAAAATGCTATGAGCTGTGTACTACTGCCATTCTCATCTTATAAATGGAGAAACTAAAGACCAGAACAGTTAAGTGCTTTGCTATGGTTACCCAACTTATCTGCGGCTGGATTAGAACTGAGTGACTCTGTCTACAAAGTCTATACCCTGGATTGTTACAACTTGACTTCCTTTCTGTGGAAAATGACCATTTGTGCATATTTTCCAAAGACACAACAACACCTAGTGAGAAGAATAATTGGCTAGGAATCTGGAGACCCAATTTCTCTGTGATTCTGCTGCTCCCTAGATGAATGGTATCCCCTCTCTGGCCTTGGTTCTCCCATCTACAAAAGGAGAGGCGGTTGGGATTGATGACCCCTAAGGCTCTTCTCCTATTAGCATTTTGAGTTATTGTAGGAACAGAAACTACATCTGGTACTATAAGGGACAGCTGGTGAGCAGCCAGATGGCCCTTTCCAGTTGGTGCAAAACCATCACCACTCTGGGTTTTTGCATCTCAGCATGTCATCTCCTGAGAGCAAGAGGGCACCAAGCATTTCTGGGCCCCCCAATTTTTTTTTTCTGTGGTCACTCTTTCTGTGCAGCTTTAAGAAGCTTTATTCTTTAGCCAATATGAGGAGCCCTGCTTTAATGTATCAGACAATATGGCAATTTAATGCCAAAGTGCCTTTAGTCAGTCAGTCTATGAGCAATGTCTGAGCTACTCTGACCAACGAGGTAATGTAATCCAATATACTAGAGATTAAAATGAACATCTCTTTCCTCATATGGATCCTGCACACATTTGAGATTTGGCAGCTGGGCTAAATGCCAGGACACCAAGGGACCTATAAGAGGGTTCCTGGATTTTGTTCAGCACAGGAAGTGAGGCTCATATCTGTGTACCATTCTCTAGGTTGGAGGAATGTGAGATATAAACTGTCAGCTATGAACTGATTTTTTAATTACATCATTGCAGTAACCCTGATGGTACAATTAATAAGGAAAAGAAAGCATTTAGTTTGTGTCTCTCCCTTAGGGTTTCTGTATTGTAAGGCCACTCACCTGATTGGTCATAGGCTTCTTTGTGCTTTAATATAGATTACCACTGTTCAGCTAATTGGAGTGTTTCCACAAATACTTGGGGCTCACTTTTGGTCCCTTGGGCTGGTAGGAGGCTTTTGCAAAAGTTAGCTCAATGAATCTGTTAAAGGAAGGACATGCTACTGGAGGAACAGTGAGCTGAGCTGAACAGTGGTAGTCCTAAAGCTTGAACACACACCCTCAAGATATCAAGCTGACTATGGTTTTCCTATACCTTGGTTTCTTCAAGTAACAACAGCGACATTAACTTGGTACCCAAGATAATACTAGCTTTAATTTCAATAAACATGGTCAGAATTCAAGTGGTGCTTTCCTCTTCTTCCTCCTCCCCCACCCCTTACTTTTCCTCTTCCCCCTCCTTCTTAGTGGAAATAGGGAGAAAGTTAGTTCTTATCTCAAATTTAGAATCCAGAACTTGGAAATACGAAGTGAATTTTCAATTGTGTGTTATGCTGTAGAACACTAACCCTGAAATGCATCTAGATGAAGGACAAGGGTGTGAAGGAAAGATGAGACTGAATGTCTAAGAAGCCATGTCCCTGAATGAACAGGTAGAGTGTATGTCTCCTATGAACCTTAAGGAAGGTTTTGTATGCATCTGTACCCCTTGTGTTGCTCTCTTGCCTTTGCAGCCCAAACATTCTTTGGGATAAAGTCCATGACCACTGCAAAAATGTACTAATCTTAGCAACTTTGGAGTCAGACCAATATGGGTTTAAATCTTGACTCTGTGGCCTGCCAACTATGTGATCTCATACAAAGTACTTTCAGTTTTCTTACTGAAAATAGAGGCAATAATACTGAGTTTACAGGATAAAGAGTAGAGTGATTAGTACAGTACCTGGTACATTGTAGTCATGTGATCATGGGAAACACCTCTGTGGAGCTTCCACACCCTCCACCTTCCACTTCTTAGTTAAAGCTAATATATGCTTATTTTAATATTTGCCAAATATTTTGAACCCTAGGTGAGGTTTTGCTGGTGACAGAAAGAAGAAGTGAGATCATGAGATAAGGGGTTTGTTGCTGAGTGATGCTGTTGGCCATTAGGTGAGATTGGGAAGATATAGGGCATCCAGTAGAATGATGGAGACATCCAGATCTAAGCTCCTTCCTAAGCAAGGTTCAAGGGCAAAGGACCAGTCTTGCAAGGGTAAGGGACCCCACACTAGCCTCAGAGACCCAGGGCCATTCACTCCGCAAGTATTGATTGGGAAGCTGTTGTGACCAGTCTCTGTT